TGAACAATCATTATATCGTCTTCAAACACTTATTCAATATCAACATGATAAATTAGGTCATATTGATTTAGAATTATTAGCTTATCTTGAACGAACATGTGTTGAAACTCAACCTATTCAAACATCACATGTATATGCACTCTATGAAATATATAAAATGATGAAATTACCATTGAAGAGTATGTATTGATTTACTTTTCATTAAAAGAAAAAACAGGCAATTCAATATTTTGTTGAAAAAAAAAATGTCTTTTGATTACCAAAATTTGTTTATTACGAATCGAGTCCAACTTCAAAAATTTCGAATATGGCAGATCGTAAACAAAAAGATTGAGACTATCCAACAAGAAGTTTTCGACAGTAATATTACTATGATTTTTGCTTAATATTATCTATCTGTTACAATAGTAATTATTCTGGCTGGATTTGTTGAGTCTCCTGTTGTTTTTCTTTCATATAATTGTTCAGTAGAGCCCTTTTTGTTCGTAAGTTAAGCGTTTTTTTTCCAATGTTGAAGACCTGCATTAGTCTTTAACATACAGTAAAAATTTATCGTAGTATATTTAATATATTTTATCAACATACTTTAATATCAACGTACGTTATCACAGCAAAGTCAAACAATGGTTTATCATAGAGTTCTTCATATTTGCTACTATTTATAGAATACATTTTGCACATTCATACGAGCTCAGGAAGCAAATATAGAGTGGAAATGTTTGACGAATATTGAATCCCTATTCAAAGCTATTATTAAAATTATTCTATAATAAAGTTTTCTGTTCACCTGTAGTCAGCAAAAATATATAGAAATAAATAGTGAAAGGTACTATCGCAGTGAAATAGTACTCTTACATCAACGCTGTAGTGATTTATAAGTAACATTGATTAATCAAGGGATTGATTTAACTATAATATATTCAACAAAATGAGTCATAATTGATATGTCGGCTTCAATTCTGTTCTCTGTTTTTCTACTAGTTATTTTTTTATTGTTTGATTTAAACTTTTCTATGAATAATAATAACTTTTATCAATTAAAACTATTCATATTCACACTTTTTCTTATTTTCATTTATAGTGGCTCAAATAATGTATCATTATGGTTGTTCAATAAATGATATAAAAGAACAAAAACATGTATTTGAATTAGCTTTTAATGCTTTATCATCAATAGAACAAACGATCGATTCAACAGATCGATTATTTATTTATCCAATTAATTATGAATATAATGTATAAGAAACTTTTTGAAAAACAAAACATTTTATTTTTTAATCTTTCTTTCTTTTCAACAATAGTCATTATCACCTTTACATACTGATGATAATTCAGCTCGACTTATTGGTATTGATGAATGTCGACAAAAATTAGCAATTATATCTGCTATATATACATTACGAACAAATCGATCATCCTCTACAATTCAAATAACTGATACAATGCATCCAACACAATTAAGTGGTCTTCTAACAAAATTTCATTATCATACAGAAGCTCAACAATTACTTGATGCTTTTCAAATAAATAAATCATCAATGTATTTTGTTCATTAAGAATATGAAAGAAAAAGAAAACATGCAAAAAAGAGATTGATTTGATTCAGTTTATTATTGTTATTATTATTATTTTTTTTTTTCTTTTGTCATATTAAAATCTAGAAAAAAAAACGATAATTTGTAGCCAATTTTTGTCTGGCATACATTTTGCACACATTTAGTTAAAAAATAAAAAGAAATTCTCTTGTCAGATGTCTAGGAAATATTAACTAAAAAAATCATCAACTTCATTTGTTTCACCTGCTGTTGTTGTAGTTGTTGTTGTCGTTGGTTGAGGTGGTGGTGGAGGAGGAACAGCTGGTTGTTGATTTTTTCTCTTTGGGCCAAATGGAGGATTATATAAATCTTGATCTGAAGCTTCAGAAGATCGTGATGGTGATGGTTGTTTTCGACGAGGTGGACTTTTTACAGTAGGTTTTGGAAGTGGTTGAGAAGGAATAACAGTATCATCTTTTCGTGAAGGACCTAAGATAGCTTTTGATGCATCATCAAGCCATTTATTAACGTCAAAACTATTTGCAACTTCTTCATCATTTTCATCACGATCATTATCATTTATTAGTTCATCATTTTTATTATTTGGTTTTGGTGATGGGGCTAGCGAAAAAAAATATATAAAAATACATTTATATTTGATAAAAATGAATGATATTACTTTGTCGTTTAGATGTGGAAATTTTAGGTGAAGAACTTGGCGATAATCTTGGTTGTTCATTTTGACTATCGGATTTTTCTTCATTGTTATCAGTAATTTTATTATTATTATTAGCATCGGCTGTAGGTAAAGATGCTAAATAAAATAATAATTTGTTTTTATATTAGATTATTAGAAAATAAAAATTTACGTTGATTTTCATCATGAATATTATTTGTATTATTTTTACGTATTAATGCACCGTCAGTTGTTTTTGCTAGAAAATAAATACAATATTAATATTAAGAACTACATCTCGATCGTGGAGATCTTTTTGGACAATTCAGGAAAAATTAGCACGAAACAAAGTTATGGATGTGTGGCTGAAGTGAAGATTCAAACATCCATACCCTAATATTCATTCTTCAATCGAGCCACCTACACCGATTCTCTTACTTTATCTATTGTCATATGTTTCGAAAATGTGGTCAGTTTTTTGCTGTGTTCCTTCGTCCTTTTCGCATTGTGACCTTTTGTGTCTCTCGCTCCCGATTCTACTGTGCAGACTTTATTTTCCTTCGATGTTAAAGAGAAATGTCCACAATCAAGATCAAGATAAAAGCAAACATACGAAGTTCAGTTGATGGTTTTCTTGGTGGTTGTGGAGTTGGTGGCTTTTCTATGCTAGGTGATGGATGAGATGAGTCTTGATTTTTTGATCGTTCTGATGTTGTTGATTCATTTTCAAAGGAAACTTGAATACTCTGATCATGTTTATCTACTGTTTTTTGATTTTTTGATGTTGGCTCAATCATTGGTTTTGTTGATTCATTATGTGAAGAATTTTGATCAGCATTTGTAGTTGTTGATGGTTTAGGTTCTTTGACAGTTGATTTTGATAAACCATTCACTGTTGGTTCCCATGCTGATTTTACTTGATTGTCAACAGTAGCAATACGTTTTTTAAGGTTTGAATCTTCATGACGAGTTTTTGTTCGATTTGATACTGTTTTTCGTTGAGATACTGGTTCTGATTCTGTTTCATCAATGATATGTTTTCCAGTTGGTACATCGTATTCGGATTTTAAAGAAAGTTCAAAATATTTTGGTGGCTTTCCAGAAACAGTTTTTGATGAAGGATGCCATATAGGTCTACGTGTTCTGGATGAAGATGATTCATTATGAGGATCATATGTACGAATATGTTTTGTTTTATGCATGACGTCAGTTGAATTTCGAGAAGTTTCATGTAGTGATGATTTAGATTTTGACGATGGAATACGAGAATCAATATGTTCTGATTGTTTTATAGAACTATTCGGTCGTCGGATAGGTAGAGTATTAGAAAAAGAAGCATTCGATTCTTGATGTTCATCTGATGCATAAAATGGAGCAGAATCAGGACGATTACGAGATGTAATTGGAGGTGATCGATAACGTGAACTCGATGATGGACGTTCTAAAATATAGATATATATATCTCTATGTTCTACTCTATATCATCGTAAACCTTTGCCACGAACCGATCGACGATGTGATTTAATTGGTTTATCACCATAGTATGGTCCTCTTGGTGTTTCGGATACTTGTGATGTATTTGTATCAGAATAAGAATAACGTCGAACTGACGTACCATTTACAATCCATGGACTTTGATTGTCTGAATTTTTTCTTATCTGCTTTACGAAACCTTGATCTCGTGTTGGATATAAATCAACAAACTTCGGCTCATCATTGGAATAAACATCTGCTGGTAACCTATGACGAGAAGATTGTTGATGTCGTCGCGGAATATGAATTTTGTATGTAACTCGAGCTTTGTGTATTTTTGGTGACTAAATAGAAAAAGGAGAAAAATGATGATAGGAAATATTTTATTTGGTTTAAATTACCACTTCTAATTCAGTTGACGATGACCGTTCTTCACTTATTGATCGAGAACGATTTTTTTTAGGTGAATGTTGAGATAATGGATAATGATGGATATGATAATGTACTGGTGATCGATCAGTTAATTCTGTTTGAGCAAGTGTCTGACATAATTCATCATTAATTTGTTGTAATTTGGATAGTGCATATGAATTAGAAAGTGAAGATGATCGAGGAGAATGTATTGGATGATGATAAATTATTCTAGAAGAAGTTGGCGATAATGAACGATAAGAAGATAAAGAATCCTTATCAAATTGATCATCATTTTGATCCCTTTTATATAAATCAAAATTAAATTTTGGACCTGATCCAGTTAATATTGGTCGTCTCAAAGGAGGAGATTGACAACGACGAAATAATGGTGATGATGATCTATTTGAAAGTATTGACGAAGTTATTGCTGAAGACATAGGAATATACGTTGTAGATTGATGAATAAGTTTGGGGGAAATATTGTAAACAGAATCAAAATTTGACATAGTATGAGTGTATTCCATTAATCTATCCATTGCTGAATAGAATTATTTATTTTTGATTATATATATATACGTTCAAAGATTAAGAAATTTGTTCGTTTTTTTCTTTTAATCAGTTGTTATCTGACGCACTACTATCAACTGTTTCCATAGAAACATAACATATGAAGTGGATATATTCAATCATTAGTAAATATATGAATGATGTTGTTTAAGTTTATAATAAAACAATAATAATATTCGAAAATCCTAAAATATTTGAATAAAAAATGTAATTTTTCTTAGAAATAAACTGTTTAATGCTGTCATCTATTGAAAGAATTCTTTTGTTCTTTTCATCTTAACATAAGTACATTCATAAACGCGCTAAAAAAAAACTCTTAATTCTTTATGAATAAAATGACTGATAATACTTCATCAAGACGAATGGCTAATTTGAATCATAAAAAGCTTTCTCAAGAGCCACCAGTTCATCTATTATCTCCTTCATCAGCAGTCAATCAGATCGTTGTTTCATCACGTCGTACGAGTATGCGATCAACAAGTGGTTCAAGTTCTTCAAATTCTCGAACTCAACATACTTCAAATGGTCATTCAACAATTCAAATGGAGCCTGGCCTTCAAGCATTGTTTATTGCCGAAGGTCGTGCTGCCGAAATGATTGCAACAGCACGTGCAAAACGCAATGAATTAATGCGACAATCAAATCAAGAGAGTCAAGCTGAAATCGAAGCATTTCGACAAGAACGTGAAGCTCAATATAGAAAAAAATTACATGAAGCAACACAACTCGAACAATTTCAAGCAAAACTTAACATAGAAAGACATCATTTATTAGGACAGATGGAAGAAAATGTCAAAAAAACACGAAAATCACTTGTCAATTATATTGTTCATTGTGTTATTGATCAAATTCCTGTTGAACCACATCCAAATACAAAACGTATTATTTTCTAGACAATGATACGAAAAGAAAAAAACTTTTACTTCCTGATAAATTCAAAATCAAAGACTTATCTAATTGTCCAAGGACAAAATAAGTTACTTTTTCCCTTCCTTTTGTATCCTTGTATATACATTTGTATGTCATCGTATAAGTAACCGAGTAAACTACATTTGTTGGTACATATTATATGTAAGACATACCGAAAGTAATGAGATTCACATTACATCAAAGTATAGAAAATTTGAAAAAACATTCTGTTCATATATGCTCGCAGCAGTAGAAGTGCTCAAAGCGTCAGCAGTATTTTATCATTAGTCAAATAATAATAACGACTGTGCCAGATATAATGATCACGCTTTGCATTTCAATTTTCATTCACTTAATATATTGCATTAAAAAAACAAAATATATCACAAGATGCAGCGTGAGAAGCTCTACAATTTACACAGTAAAATTTATTGTAATTGTGCTCAAAAAAAGCAAAATTTTGTACGAGCGACTTTCGCACGGTTGAGACTAGTTCGCTCAGAATTTTGCCCATTTTGAAAACCCAAAAGTCACGTATAAAATGAGCGGACTCCTGCAAATTTTAGAGTTTTTCACATTGCATCTTGTGGTATATTTTGTTTTTTTTTATTACAATATATTAAGTGAATGAAAATTGAAATGCAAAGCGTGGCTATTATATCTGGCGCACCCGTTATCATATGAGAAGTTCAATGTGAGCTGTAAAGCTGTACTTTTAAATGAATAAGGAAAATTTTTGTTTCGACATTGAAGTGAGAACTGCATTTTATATTCAATCGAAACCGATTTTTGATGAATTATATTCTGTTTTCAATAATCAGGCTTCACGTTACAATACAGTTACTAGACGGTCAAAACTGTTTCGCGAAAATCGAAAAGAGATTTAAGAGCAACCATGACTTGGTCAACTTTTAGTCGAAACAGTATTTAAAAATATTGAAGGAATTCGATGCTTTACTGATAAAATACAAGTAGCAACTGGTATGAATTGCATCACCATTAAACGAATCATTTCTGACTAGCTGAAGCTGAAAGAAATACTGTCCACACTGAGTATCTAATTTGTTGACTGATAACCAACGAGCTGGACTGGTTTAGTTCTTTCAAGAAAATTTAGCGAACTTAAACAAGGAACATGGCGATTATATAATGTAATGAAATGACGTCCTATGATTTTATCATAAATAAATTCGTTGGACATCATCGAATGCTGCGTGGAAACCAATCGATGAAACACTGTCTACCGTGCGGTTTAACGTAACCACTTTGCTCCTAAAACCTTGTTTTGCATCTTTTTCAAAACGACTGGCCCCGAGCAAATCTATCGCGTTGAACAAGAACAAAACATCGATGATTGCCTGAAACGACTAATCAAGGAAATTCAGACAACAAGATTAGTGTGTGGTAGATATGTCAAATATTTCACCATGACAATGTCATATTGCATATTTATCAAGAGGTTTCGGATTATTTCTAACCGAAAAATATTAAAATTGTTCAACAACCGCGGAATTCTCCGAACCTAACACTGCCTAATTTTTGGTTTTTCGCTCTGATCAAACGGAATCTAACTGATTGAAGCAACTCACAATCCTTGCATCTTGTCATAACCAAGATCATGTACTCCTTAGCAAGAAAAATGAATTTCGATAACCGACTTGAATTAATGCAATCTTGTGTAAATAACCAAGACAGACTACTCCAAACATTTAAACCCATTTTGACGATATTTAGAAAACGAAACAGCAATGCAACGAAGCAAAAAATATCCTATTCAATCTTTTTTCTGTCTTATACTGAAGACATGCCTAAACATGTCGTTTTTGAAAGTCGATTGCCTTCTATAACCGATAATCTTCAAAAATGGTCATCCATTCTGTCATCAATCATCGATGATGATTTAGCTCTGAACTGGAACTCCAATGTCACTATAGATTCTCGTTCGATTGCTCAAGCTATCCATATAGATAATATCATAAAAACACTCATTGCACACGGTATTTTATGTCTCAAAATAACGGGGCTAGGACTATGTGCATGTAGAACTCGAATAATGGAATGAGATTTCCGCCCCGCCTTAGAGTGACGTCTTCGCCGATTATTGATAACAAAGAGGGTAACCATTGGTGAAGTTTATCAGCTACGGGAAACAATCGGCTTTCAAAAAAGCCATGTTTAGGCATAACTTTAGTCTCAGACTGAAAACAATTATTGCTCGCTTCCTTCAACAAAAATTCAATTTTCCCCAAATATATGAAACTTAAGATCGATGGATGAGACGATATTTTTTATAGATTTCTGTCATTTTCTGCTTGACAAACATGATTTTGTCATATAAAGCGAAAAATCGTTTTCTCTTTTTTCTCTGTTAGTGTGTTTTTAATCACATATTCCAGGATTTTGGAAGAACTTTCATTGTAGTCAATTGCTGTCTTTTGTTAGAAAGAGAGTGTCAAGATATAGAGCATGAAATAGGCCTTTTTTCGAATTAAACTTTTTCTTAAAAAGCAAGACTAAGAAAAAAGAGCTCTGCCATGGTTTGCATCCTGACACGTTCTTTCGAATAAAAATCTATAGAATGAAGGCCCACAAAGAACTTTTGAGTTATCAAATGAGAGATGTTCTTCTTCGTCATTTCATTGCTGTTTGTATATCCCTCAATATCATCAAAATCGGTAATTTTGAAATAAGTACAAAATAATATCCAAATATAATATATAACATGCCCTTACAAGTATACTTGATTCTGTTACCCGTACAATGACATTCAGATGTATATATAATAATAATGCCAGAGGAAGAGAAATCGAAACAATTGAAAAAGAACTTATTGTTCTCTGTAGAAGAGTTTCTACTTAATATATGAATTAATTAGTATTTATCGAATTGTATATAATAAGTATGACTGTAATCAAAAACAAAACAGTTCGTTTTTGGGAACATTTATAACAAACCAAGATATATTTTGTCTTTTTTTTTTTTCATTCTTTTCTTGGTTTTAGATGGTACAAATTCAAACAAATGCACGTTGAGATATAAGAAAACAAAAATTGAAGGAAAAAAAAGGTGAATTAGGACACTAATCAATAAATAATTAGTTTGTTGGTGATGATGGTGTAGCCTCCTTGTTCACATCTGATAATTTAGATTGAATTCCAATTTTCTTTAATTCTTCAACAAGTTCACCTGATTGATGCATATGAAGTAAAATATCGCAACCACCAACAAATTCTCCATTAAAATAGACTTGAGGAAAAGTTGGCCAATTACTAAATTAATTAGAGAAAGATTTCAAATAAAATAATTTCCTTTTGTTTTCTTTTATTTTAACCTATAAAGTTTCATTGTTTCTCGAAGTTGTTGATCATCTAAAATATTTTTCGATTTAAAGTCACATCCATGTAAATTAAGTATTTGAAGAACAGCTTTAGAAAAACCACAACCTAAAGTGAATAAAAGATAAAATAATTCAAGAAAAGAAAAGGAAAACCTTGAATCATACTAGGAGCATTTGGTTCGCCTTTAATGAATATAGCAATTTTATTTGATTTGATAAAATCATCGATTCTTTTTTTAAATTGTGGATCAATAGATGATGAGTCAGTTGGCGTTTTATTTTCAGTTGATGATGAAGTGAAACGTATTGAAATATTATTCAATGCGCGTATGGAAGAATGTTGCTGAATGACTCGACGAAATAATAATGAATTCATCTATAAAATGAAATCATCAATGTTCAAGGATTTAGTTTCATGTCTGTTTTAATAAACTCTTTACACATAATTAGAAAACAAAAACACAAAATATATTTTCTATAAACAATTCATATCAATCATAATGATATAATTTGAAGATGCTCTTAAAACACTTCTTTCTTTATTTCCATATAACATTTTAATTTTCTTTTCTTTTTTTTTTTTCATTTTAATCACAGTGGTCGTCAACAACACCACGGGAAAAAAACACACTTGAAATAATACTTTTAATACAAATCAATGAATATTCAAATTATTTTCTTTTGACATTATAATAAAAAACGAAACCCTTTTTTCAGATGAAATTCGTTAAAAGAAAAAAAGGCTTCATTTTCATATTTTTTTGAAATAAAAAAATATATAATCACAGCGAATTTTCTTAGTGCCTTGTATTCATTTGATTGAAATTCTCGACGTGAATTCTTAACTATTTCATTACTGTTAATATGATGGTGTCGCATTCAACATCATCAAATTTATCTGAAGCATTAATAAATGTGAAAAAAATGGAGCAAAATTTTCTCAATCGTGAATTCACATTTATTGATCGAGAACGAAATAAAATTCGTGCAAATGTTGATCGACATATGGAAACATTTTTACATTTAACACGTAAACGTCATGAAACATGGTATCGACATGATAAACATTTTCGTGAAGCTTTAAGAAAAGAAAAAGAAAATCATGAAAAACGTAAAGAACGTAATAGACAAAAATTATTAGTAGCCGCTAATCCAAGCTATATTCCACGAGCTCATACACCATTTCAGCCACTTATTACTGAAAATATTGTTCTACCACCAATTACAACACCAACAGAAGAAATGCCGACAATCAAAGTAACAACAATAATAGAAGCAACAGCAACAATTAAACCAGAAATAACAACAACAACAACAGAAATACCAACCGTCAATAATACACCAACAAAAAAAACAAAACATAATACATCAACAATAACACCACGTGCTGAACCAATGACAAAAGTTGACCGACGTACACATCAAGTTTTGCGTGCTTCACAAAAATTACTTGATGAATCAGCAGCAAGATCAAGATATAAATTTACATCCGATCGTCCCTCATCAACATCATTTCATCATAAACGTCCACCACCACCACCAGCAATATCAACAAGTTCATGTTCATTTAATAGTGCAACACTTATTGTACCGATGACAACATCAATTGATTGTGAAGAATATGATCGTTTAGTACATGAATCAATA